GTTCTACGTAAAACTGTATAATCAATTAACGAATATTGTTAATGTATATTTTTCACTGATATATATATATATATATATATATTTATAAGGGTAAATATAAAGACGCAACTTTTAAAAAGCGTTTTTTTTTTGTTAAAAATCAGCAAGTTCTTTTTCAGTCAAATTTACTTTGAGTTTTATGATGAACCACAAATCTAACGTGCCATAATATTCGATTTCGCAATTTGCAAGATTTACATACGTGCTTATATTTCCCTTTTTAAATATATTTTTCTATAATGTTGAATAAATTTCGTCTAATTGATTGAAATATTTATTATAAAAGTTTAGGATTACAAAAACTTGAAATGTATTCTTCATTAGTCGAAACAATGAGATAATCACAAAATTTTCACATCATTAGTTACGAAGTAACAGTAAGAATGAATAATTACTGTTAAATCTGGATCAAGTGTTAGGCTTAGGATTTGCGAATTAACCGACAAAAACTAGAATGTTTAATATTTTATATTAGTTAGAACTTATTATGCTGTAATTGAGACTATATTAACAGCAGAAATATAATTTATTAGGGCAAAATCAGAGAGAAACTAGTCTAAATGATTTTTAAAATTGTAAGCCATCCAACATATTAGTGTTAATACTGTTACGACAGCGGTAGTCACGTGACGCTAGTAACACGTCATGATATTCTCAAAGGTTCGTGAATGCTCGAGTGTTTACTAGATGTACTGTATTCTTGTATATAAGACCGCCAAGAAGTCAAGCGCGTGAATAGTTCGTTGTGAATTATAGCATTTGTTTAAGTTAACTGACTGTGGAAATTAAGTGTATTGCAAAGTTGAATTGAGAAAGAATAAACTAGTTTTATTTAAGAAAAACCTGTATCGCTGAAGTTCTCTTCAGAAGGAATTAAAAAAATTAACAAACGAACACAGAGGCGTAACAATACCTTTAAATATGATGGTAAGTTAGGCTTAACAATTTTCAAAAAACAGCAAGATATTTACACTAAACTGCTGTTACCTATTTAGATAAAACTGGTATGACTCAGAACGTAAAAACTGATTATTTGAATTAATCTAATTAAGTGAAAACTTTTTTTTTTTTACATTGTTAAGATGTATTTGTAATGAGATAATCGTTTTACAAAGGATCCGTGTTGGTACTGGCGATGAAATGATTTGGATATATTCACTTATATTTGAAAGACTGAAGATTGGAATGATAACATTTATTTGTTGAAATAACATAAGGATTCAGAACCAACCTTTTTTTTTTGAAAAAAATCACAAGTTCCAAAATTTTAATATAATACTCAAATTGAATTTAATACTGTTACAATGTCATGTATATAACAACGGTAATTATAAAACAACTACCGAAATATGTCTTGCACATATGTGTGTGTGTGTACGCGCGCGCATGGGTATTAAGCATTTTATACGAGTTCTCACTGCAAATTCACAGTTAACTACTTAATATACATTCATATAACAAAAGTTTTGAAATCAGGTGTCTTGTAAAGTCACACGAAAAGCACTGCATTACTATCCATTGAAAAATAAATGTTACTTGTTTTGAATCTCATTGCAACTTACCAATCGACAATTAAAATACCAACACACCTACTGTGTTTCCTGGATGACATTGTTGGTTGAACAGTATTTTATCTTTAATATTTTAAAACTAGATTACTGCTTCATGTTACAAATTTTAATTTTATACGCATTCTAGAATTGGATACAGTTATTAACGTAATATTGATATGAAAGTTATATTTTTAAAAGAGTTTCTACAATCATTAATATCTGAAAAAATACACCTATACATGACTATCACCAGTATCTATTGTAGTACTTTCACTTATAGTGTGATACTGTAATATATACATGCATCTTATTCATATCTACAGACCACAAATATGGTATATTTGTACAGCATTTTCATCCCTACATGTAGATATTTTGAAAATGCATGTATACATACATATAGAACTACTAATAATACATACCCAACCCCATCAATATAGTAGTATTGCTATACATATATATACAGCACTATCACCAATATGGTATACTGCACGATGTTATTAGGGTACTAAAACAATTAAAAACAACACTATATATCACCAGTATGATACTGTAATACAAATATACAGCATTTTCTCCATACTGTTAAAATACACATATGTATACAATATCACCAGTTGATGCTGCACCGTACATATACAGCACTACTGCCAATGTGCTAGTGTAACACATTTTCATGTACAACACTTTCATCATGAGGTTTTGTGAAATACACACAGGTATATTAATAGAACTACTATCTATAGTATAAACTGAGTAAAAGTAACATCATTTCGGTACAGCCCAGCGAAACAGAACTCATTTCAATGCGAGTCATTACTCTTGCAGAACTATTAACAAAATGTATATATATAGTAATACAGAATACACAGTGTACTATAAATAATATTATTGATAAATATGTTTACAACAAGTATCAACAGAGAAAATTGTATCATGCACATATGGAGAAGTCTGCTTCAAATTTATATACTCTATGGTACTACAACAGCTATAATGAAATGTTTGAAATTTACTTAAAACTATTACAAATAATTTTAACTGTGGTTTCGATAATTAGATTTTTCTTCCACTAGTGACACAAAATGAAGTTTGTAACCATCTGGAAGATCTGAATCAATTCTACTCTGAAGAGTAGAGACATCTACAATACGTCTTCCATCATGCAAGTTATTCAGCAGGTCCATTTCTTCTGGAGAAAGTTCAAAATTGAAGACCTGGGCATTCTCTTTCACCCTATGTTTATTAGTTGACTTTGGAATAGTCACAACTTCATTCTGAATTGACCAACGAATCAGAACTTGAGCTGGTGTTCGATTATGATGCTTGGCAATTTGTGTAACTGGGGCCTCCTTCAAAATCTGGCCTTTTGCTAAGGGGCTGTAACCATGAAATTGGATTTTATTCTCCTTACAATATTCAAATAAAGCTTTTGGATTCTGATAGGGATGAAACTCCACCTGGTTAACAAATGGAACTACACTACAAGTATCAAGCTGCTTCTCCAGATCAGGAATATCGTAGTTACTCACACCAATGGAACGGCATAAACCTTCATCCAGAAGGAGTTCCAGCGATCTCCAGGTTTCTTCAAGAATTTGCCATTTGTTGCTACAAGATGACATGCATTCTGGCCAGTGCATCATGAACAGATCAATATACTCTACTCCTAGTCTTTCCATAGACCCATAAAAAGCTTGCTTTGTTGCAAAGGCACCATAGTCTCTTGGCCACAGCTTGGTCGTCAGAAAGATATCCTCTCGTGAGACACCACTGTCTCTGAGAGTTTTCCCTAGAAGCATTTCACATCCATATCGTTTAGCAGTGTCAACCAAGCGATACCCACAATCCTTCAAGGCATGGAGCACTGCTTGGTGAGAGTATCCTCCACTGTGAGATGTCCCCAAACCTAGAATTGGCATTATCACACCATTACGCAGTTCAACCTTAGTAGGTCCAAATTCTTCTTGCTGCTTCCAAATATCTTCTGTAACATGAAGCTTTTCAGTGCCAGTCTGTTCTGAACACTCATTACAACTTCCCTGCGGGCTCATTGTTGATACTCCATTACATAGCATCTTGGCAAGTATTTTTCACTACCTAGAACAAAATAACAAAAATTGTGATTGTGGATCCACAGACAATGGTTAGGGAGAAGTAACAAGATGAACCAACACAGATTAAGAATGATATGAATATGAATGTGGGCAGTGAAAATACTCTCTTTCCAAAAGAAACTTAAGGTTCTTCAACATTAGCATGTGTGGTACTTCAACATTACAAGAATTCAAACAATATGTAGTAACATATCATTAAATGAAAATAGCTACTAACTTACTATGTAATGTCTGGATTTCAACAAAATATTCATTGATAGAAACAGAAAGTCATAAACAACTAAATATTTTTCATTGAACATTCTTATATCATATGCTTTTCTTTTGTTGAATTAATATAAATAGCTACATAAAAAATATCATAATTGAAAGAAAACACAAAGAATAGTAACTATTCAAAAATTACATTAGAAATAAAAACATTTTTGTAAAGACAAAGTGACAGAGGTTCTTGCAGTCACTAATAGCTGTTAATATTATTTAGTTTTTTTGTAATGGGTTTACCTTCTTAGCATGGCACATTTACTAATCTATCTTAAGAACTAGTAGTCAGTGACAACTTTAATCTCTTGGCTCATGTTAATCTATAGTTTAAAAACATCTGTGGAGAAAACCTACAATAGTGAATATGGATTTAGAGGGTAATATTTTTCAGCACCAAGAAAATCCAGAATTCTGGGCACTGTGGTAATTTAATTTTTTATTATCTCCTTGGCTCAGATTCTAATCCAGGAACTCTCACACTCAATTGAAGTAAATTACCAATTGAATTAAAAGGATAACCCACTAGTGCCTGTTAATAAGGCACAACACAAAACATCATTTCTTAATCTAAAATTAACAAAGTATTTGGTCTTGCATTTAATGAAATATTAAATTTAACCACGAAAGTAAAGTACCCATTTTTATATATTAAGGTTCCAAGTTTTTCTGTAGACATAACCCTACAATCTTCCACATAATTTTTAGAATTCAATTGTTTCATACTATCAATAGATAAAACATACTACAGATGAAAAACATGTAATGTGTGAATTTGATTTTGTGGACCCTTAGTTGCTAGTCTTAATACTTGACCCGTAGTAGCTGTAGTGTTTAAAGCTATTTGGTCATTTTTTAAGTTCAACTAATCATATCTATTTTGATATATATAACAAAATTTTGTTAATATTTACCCGATTTTTATTGAATATGAAAGAGTAACTGTAATCATACAATTTTTTTTATTATCTACGATTAGAGAGATTTTTCCAATGAAATTTTTAATTACAGTTTGTGTTCATATCTATATCTTATAATGTTTTCCTATTTCCTCTTGCGTGTGCTGTTAAAATTGGCTTTAGGTGTTATTAATACACACAATCAACACAAGCACTATATGTTATATTTAGTAGGGAGAAACATTTATCAAATTTTTTTTAAATACTGCCATTCAAAAATCCCCCATTTCCTTATTAAATAATTTTTATTAATTCATGCACACAAAGTTAAGCAATTTACAATGAAATATTTATCACAACCAAGTTATAAAGCAATAATGCATGAAATTTATGACTACAAACAAATACCTCACAGGCATAGTTATTAATTTAAAAATCAGAACTAACTGATTAAACCTAATTCTTAATAACAAACAGCTATAAAGTTTGACTACTTGTTGTATTTAGTTGTTTTTGATAGTTTGAAAAGTGTCCTTGTTGGGGTCAAATGGCCTTCTTAACTTGTTACAAGTTGAAATATGTATACACACGCATGTATGTATGTATGTATGCTTTGCCACTCAATGCACTGCACTCTCTCATTTATATTTTTAAATATTGACACAAGTTTAAAACATTGGTTTTTCTAAAAGGTCTTTACTTTTTAAACAGTTAAAAAAAGGAAATTGATTTCCTAAATACCGAATGGTGGGTTTTACTTTTACTTGGAGGTAGTTGTTTAAAAACAGCCTTGAAAGTTGAAGGGCCAAAATGGCCCATTCTTGTCCGTCCATATGTTATGTTCTATAGCTGTAGGTACACAACTCCTGTATCATCAGCACAATTAATACAAGCTAGCTACTTACCTGCGAGTTATTACTGGAGATACGAGATCAACCAAGCCTCTGTTCTTTCCTTGTTACACTCGGGACTGTTGCAGCGTTTCGATTAAACGTTATTCGTCAGATAGTAACACTAAATTTATTGTTTATCTTTCAAATCAGTGGTAAAGTATTTTTTTGACTTTCCGTTTTCATCAGCGTGTATTGATAGTACTAATATACTATTACTAATGATGGTATAATTATAAACACATAATGCAGATATAAAAATTAAAAAAAAAGGGGGAAAGAGAGAAAATATTAGCTATGCATCTTGGAAATTGTAGCAGTTTTGTCCAAGAAGTAAAAAGATTTACGATAACAGTTGTTAAATGAACTAACGTTACCTCGTTACGCTTTTACCACTGCAGTGGAATCTGAAACGCCAATTGTGGAAAGTTTCCACTGCGAACCAACACAAGTACGTGGAAGTTGAAACTGTTCAATTTTCCTATGATGCAGCACCAGTATACTGCTATGCGGATAAGTCGGTTTTTATATTATAAAAAATAAATATACATAATCACTAAGCTTATCCCAAAATTTATTATCACGTAATTAGTTGTCCATAATTAAGTCTCCAAGTTTACTTTAATAAATTCCAACTGTAAATTTAACAACGCACTACAAAACTTACCTTTCAGCTGCGAAGCATTCACCGGTCTGCCCGCCATCCTTGAGTGATGCGCGTGCGCTTTAAACAGGCGTGATTTGCACGTGATAGAATAATTCAAGACGTTGTCTAGCCAGGCGTTCCTCAAAAACTTGCATAAAAAATACAGTGTACTTCTCAAAAGGATTCTATTATAGTAGATTTGCCAACAAGACAATGGCGTCACAAGGAGAGGATACTTTTATCACGCATGAACAATTAACTCTTGCGTATATGTATCTATCAACCAATGATTTCTTTTACAATGCAGTTTTTGGGTTCACTTTCAATACAGAAAAAATTGTTTTAAAATATTTAACACACCTGTTCATGTTGATTGCCATGACAAGTTTAATATATATTAAACAATAAAATCTTGGATGTTTTAAACTGTACGAAATATCTGAAATAGATCAATGGCAGTCATTTGTCAGAAAAACATCGATAGGGGGAAAGGTTTTTAAATTTATACACAACACGCAGTATTTTTCATGGTATCAAACTTACGATAGGTTGTTGTTTAGATCAATTGTAGCATATATATATATATGTGTGTGTGTGTGTGTGTTACTATTTTATTATTTATTTTTTAACTCATTATAAGGTAAAACAAACATTTCCTCGTAAATCCAAATTTGTCTTTGAGTGAATATATCCTTTTTCCTTAATTTTTGAATTTTGTGAAAATTTCTATACACAACATTTTAAAGGCCATCTTTGATTCCTGTATCTACATTTTTATGTTTTGCTATAACATGAACTGTAACCATTTTGCTGGCATGGGCGTTGCCATAATATTTTTAAGAGGTGTTCATGGTGCATATTTCTTAGACACCTGTACATTTATATATTGTTACGACAGCGGAAGTTACGTGACTCTGGTAGCGTGTATGAAGTTTCTCGAATTATCGGAGAAGTTCGAGTTTGTTCGAGATGCCCTCTTCTTTAGTATATTAGCCTGGCAGAAAAGCCAGCGGGGAATAAAGTGTATGTTTTGTACTCGTCGAGAGTGAAGTTATCGAGATTGTGAATCGCTGTGA